CAGCGGCTCGCACTGTTTGCAAATATTGTGCGGGCTCCCGAGCAAGTGTCCTCTGCAAGCCACGGGAGAGCAGCGCGGCGGCGGCGCCAGCCTTTGGAGACTTTGCCATTCAACTTTGCATGAAACTTTGCCTTTTTATTATTATTATCATTTTTTTGCCCCTTCGCTCTTCCTAAAGCTCCGACAGGAATTATTGTTACACGTCTCTTTTATTACTGTTGTTGTTGTTGTTTTTCTGCTTCTGGAGAAGGGGGGGGTGGAGGGGCTCGGCCATTGGCACCCCCGCGCACCCGCGTCCCCTCCGCACACAGGAGGCTTTGTGTGCTTGTGCCCAGCACTGACTTTGTTGTTGCAACTTCCGAGACATGGATGTTCTCCCAATGTGCAGCATCTTCCAGGAACTCCAGATTGTGCACGACACTGGTTACTTCTCCGCTTTGCCATCTCTGGAGGAATATTGGCAACAGGTAAACGAGGAGGTTAATGTTGTGATAGTTGATAATTATAATTTATTTTTTTTTAATCATTATTTATTTATTTATTTTTTAATCCGTCTTAACGGAGAAGCGGATCAAAATGCCTAAGCGCCCTTCTGATTTGGGGCAGCGGAATGAGATGCAGATGGTATTATAAAAAGCAAACCCAAACAAACCCGAGGTTGGGAAGCAGGTGTGTCTGGTGGGCTGTGAATGTCAGGGTGGCTTTGCAGCGGAGTGCATGTGGCCGTGCGCCTCTCTCCCCATTAGCAGAGGGGCTGTCAGTGAAGCAAACGGAGGCCGGGGTGTTTGAATGTGTTTTCTGGAGCTTTTTGGCTCATCCCCACCCGAAGGAGCAGAACGAGAGCCCAACTCCTTGAGATTTGCTTTCACTTGATTCAGTGCAGTCCCTGGCAAAAGTTTGGGGCTTGTACTGGGTCCAAACTCTGCAGCTGGATCTTGTCATCTCAGCTCCCTCCCCCACCTCCTGTTTGCCAAGAGTTGTTTTTCCCCCTTGGGTTTTTTTTTTTTCTAAATGGTGGCGATGGGAAACAAAAACCAAAAAAAAACCACCCCAAACCCCTACCAGTTTCTTAAAGCTGTTTCCAGCTCAGAGAAACCCCCCACTCCGGTTTACCTGCTGCCCTTGTTGACCAGCCAAAACAACAACAAAAAAAATTTGCACAATCAGTGAGTTGTCAGTCATATGACAAGGATCCTGTTTTGCTAATTGTCTTGAGTCTTGCAAGGAGGAAGAACTGGGGCATCTAGCCTTTAATGGACATTTATTTTATTTTATTTTGCTTCAAGTAATGGGATTGCTTGAGACCAGATTGCCTTGGACATTTTTGCATGGTCTGGTTTTCCATTGGAGGGGCCGGGGTTGTTTACTATCCCCCATGCTGCCTGTTTGCTTCCCTTGACAAACAGACCGACCAGATCAGATACCTGCTTGTTTGCAGGAAAGACCAGATGTTTTTTCAAGAAGGTTGAAATGCAAAGTGTTACAACCTTCACTAATTGTATGCACCCCCCCCCTCCATGCACGCACACACACACACACACACCTTTCAAAGAGGCAGCTCCATAGTACGAGATTGAAATGGAGCTAAGTAGTTTCCTTCAGGCATTGGGATTTTTGGCCAAGAGCCAGATCTGTTTCCCAGTAGCCTTCAGAGGCATTTAAACTTGTAGAGAGCTTCATTCGAGTCCCCATTACTAATCTAAGTAAGGAGGGATTTAAATCCGTGGGAATATTAAAGCTTAACCGGATCATAATAAACATCCTTTGCTGTTTTCTTGGAGACTCAATACATTGTTTTTCAGCCTATAGCACTATCCTTTTGTAATTTGCATTTCAAACCAGTTATCTAATTATAGGCAAATATATAAATATTGACTGTATGTGGGTGTTTTGGGGGGTTTTTTGTGTTTGTTTTGTTTTGGTTTTTTGGGTTGTTTTCCACCCCTCTTCCATTTTTGTCCAGCCTACCAGCTGGATAGGACATGTGACCCAGTCCATTTGAAAGGGGGGGGGGGCGGATCCAGTCTATAATAGCACTTCTGCCTGGGGTGGGTTTCTAAGGGGGTCATGTAGCATTAGGAATGGTTTTGCATTTTGCTTGTGTGATTGTCTTCAGGAAGATGATCTTGTCATTGCTTAAATATGTAAAACATGATGCGGAAACCGGAGTGTGTAGACCTGCCAGTAAGCCTAACCTTAGATGAGTTGTGCTATTACCCTAAGAAAGGAGAACAAACAGACCCCATTGTTTTAAAATGCATTACCCCTTTCTTCTCCAAATGGCTAGAAAGTTTGAACTGGTAAAGAGATGCTGATCTCTGCATTTCGACTCACTTGAAAGGTTGCTAAATATTTTTGCTTTTTGTTTTGTTTCTTGTTTTAGAGGGGAGGGTTGGGGGGAGGCTTGTTCATGTCCCATTACATGTATATTTGAACAGAGTACTTTCTTGGCAGATGGTCAGAATTTTAAAAGGAAGTCTCCTTTGGCACTGGGTGAAAGAAATAGAGAGATGACTCATACAGTTGCACTCTTGGCCAGTAGATAAAGTTCTTGTTCATTGTGGGACTCCCAGCAGGACCTCAGAGTAATTTCCCCTTTTGCATCCTATACAATAGCACATTACTATTCTGGACGCCCCCCCCCCCCTTCTGTTGTTGTTACGTTACTCTGACCACTAACTGAAGCAGTTAAAGTTATGTGGCATGCATGCCATTGCACTTGGAAATGACATTCTTTGAAAGTCTAGTAGGTCGAGTTATACACAGGAAATGGGTGGTTATCAGCAGTTCCATTGATGTCCCCTGACTGCAGATTGTCAGCTACTTGCGGCCATGCTAAAATGTGGCTTTGTTTTGTGACACAGCACTTGGGTTTTACTGCACGTCGGAGCACACACTGTATTCAGCTTGGTCCTTTTAGCCTAGGGTTGTATGCGAGAGACACAAAATTACTTGAAAATATGACTAAAAGCCTCTTAGAAAGTGTAAGGAACATGCCAATTTTATCATTAATAATAATAATATACTGACCTTTCACTGTTAACCTTCTAAAACTACAATTTTTGTCATGGCGCTTATAATCTGACTGATGCAATAAAGTAATGTATAAAAATCAAAACTGACTTTACCTTTTAAGCTTTTGTGTTTGAACTCTTGCAAACTGAGTTCACCATAACGTCACCTGGTTCTGGCTGGAGTAGCCTCTAATTTGCAAGGTAGCTTGTAATCTCAACCACCGCTCTTCCTTGCACGCTATTTGAACTTTGAAACCATAACCCGGCTTTTATTTTTAAACACTATTGTAATATTTTCTTTTTTTTTTTTCCCTCCTCTCTCATTTTTTCGCAGACGTGTTTAGAGCTGGAACGGTATCTTCAAAGTGAGCCCTGTTATGTGTCTGCATCTGAAATTAAATTTGATAGCCAAGAGGATCTCTGGACCAAAATTATTCTGGCACGTGAGAAAAAGGAGGAATGTGAACTGAAGAATGCCTCCGTTCCAAAAGAGGACAATCCTAGTAGCCAGAACATAGAGACCAACAGTTTGAATTCTGATGTTAGCAGTGAATCTTCAGACAGCTCTGAGGAACTTTCACCTACTACTAAGTTTACCTCTGACCCAATAAGTGATGTCTTAGCCAATTCGGGAAACTTGAGTTCATCTGTCACTTCTACACCACCATCTTCTCCTGAGTTGAGCAAGGAACCTTCTTCTCAGATATGGAATTGTATGCCGGGTGAATTGCATTCACCAGGTAAAATTCGTACTGGTACCATTGGAAAGACTTCAGAAAAAGGTACCCCTGTCAATGGCGACTCCTCACCGGATGGCAGGAGACGTGTTCACAGGTGTCATTTCAACGGTTGCAGGAAAGTTTACACCAAAAGTTCACATCTGAAAGCACATCAGCGCACTCATACAGGTGAGTAATCGTTGTGGCTAGTAGGAATGGCTGGCTGCTGTCGGGATTGTCCCTAAAGATAGCGTTACACAGTCACTGGATGCAAGCCCAAGAATGAGGAGATAAATATTATTGCAGCGGAGGCTTATGCAAATGGAAGAGCCCAATTCCTCGTTTTCTTTGTAAGCCAAGTGAAGCCTAATTTGGTGCTGACTAGTTTTGTGTCACAAATGAATGGTTCCAATTTGTTAACTGAACATCGGTCAAGAAGTGTCAGTGTTATTTAGTCTTTCCACGACAGATTGAATTTGCTGACCTTTTGTCTTTAAAAACAAAAGTTTAGGCTCTGTCTCAGAATTTAGGATTTCGTATAACATGGCCAGAAGGAGTGCTAGATGGTCTCGTAAGAAGTGCTGCTAGAGTATTTTTTCCTACACCAGGTGTATTAAATTGAACAGCCCAAAGCCTTGGCTATATTGAGCATAACTGCAGTTGGACACTTTGTATACATTGAAAACAATCTTTTGTGTAACTTAGAAAGCCAGGAAGCATATCACTTTTTCTAACATGTTCTTGTAAGGCCACTTTAGTTGTATCACTTTATTATGGTTTCTCTTAAGAAAGGAAGAAGAAGGGGGGGAGAAAACCCCTGAGCTACAATATTTTATTACTTTAAAACGTAGATTAAAAATATCAATTCTCTAGGTTACCATGAAAGAAAGTGAAGTGGATAGACACTGCAGGGCATGTATAAATATTTTATGGTGAAAGTAGCTGGCACAGTTGATTTTTTTTTAACATTAATATTCTTGATGACTGCAGTTAGATATGTAGAGCAGCTGGTTGGCTTTCTAGTCACAGCTTTAGGTGAGGAGCAGGTTCTGCATCCTTCATGTGAAAGTCGGTGGCCATTTTCCAGAAAAGCCATTCTCCGCGCCCCCTCAATGAAGATTGGTAGTAGAAGCGTGTAAGTGGGGGGAGGGTGATGCAAAACAAGGCCCTTTCAGTGATCCACCAGGTTTGGTTTGTTTTGATGGGAAATCAGAGCTGGCCCTTATGCTCCCATGCTGATGTGGAAGTGAAATAAAATGAAGCATTTTCACGAAAAAGAGGAAAGAGCAATTTCCACTGAAGCCCCGGCTCTTCAGCAGACTATAAATAATTCCTAGCAATATAACCGTTGCTCTGCTGCTCTGTGACTAGGAACGCGTCCATGAATTGCTGATAGTGTCTTTCAAATGTTAACTTTGAAGCCAGCAGTGTTCAAAGTGGCATTACAGTAGGTTCTTTACTCCTCACCCTGCTTATATGGGTCATGAGGAAGAGGCTGCATGCCGTTTTTTTTTTTCTTTTTCAGATAACCTGTGTTAACAGTGGACTTTGAAACAGCACAGTAACCTAGTTACGTCAACAAATCAAAACCTGTGTAGGGCTGGATTCTTTCATCCATGGTCATTTTGACGTATAAAGTCAATGGCATCATTCCTAACTAATTTAAAGGGAACAGAAATGGTAGAAAGATGGCTTCAGTTGGCTTCCTTTGGTTCTTATTCAGTCTATCAGCTTGTTTTAGCAAGGGTGGTACATTTTTGCAGGTTGCTATGACAGCAAAGTGATTGTTAAGTAAGAATCATCTGACAGCCTTCTAGCTCCTGCACCTATGTTCACAAAAGCTTTGAAATGTTATTAACAAAATTCGGTCTCTTTGTATATAAAATGAATATGAGCCAGTATTTGTCTTTATGTGAATGAAGTCATGGCTAATCTGTAATTTGTTTTATTTATAGGAGAAAAGCCTTACAGATGTTCATGGGAAGGGTGTGAGTGGCGTTTTGCAAGGAGTGATGAGTTAACCAGACACTTCAGAAAGCACACTGGTGCCAAGCCTTTTAAATGTAGTCACTGTGACAGGTATGTGAATGAAGTGCACCTTTTCAAACAGTTATTTCTAATGTCTTGCAGATAGCGGGTGTAGGCAGTTGAGAGGGTTCCTTCATAAAGAGGCTACAGACACATCGCTTCAGTAAATATTAAGTCTTGTATTTTTAATGTAATATTGCATTTCCACTATTTACAGGTAACAAATAGTTGTTTTTTTTTAATGTAGCTTGTATTTTCAGGCTCTGAGGGTTTGTCTCAGAGACGCCTTGTGCTAGTGCATTATGAAGGGAGCCCTCTTCTCTTCTTGATAGGATTAGTTTTGACTGAGAAGAAGACTGGTAGCTAGGAAAATTGTCACTGTCTATATTGAGTTCCTCATGAGAACGACCATGGACTGATGTGAAATCCAACTGTGCTTCCTCTGCAGGTGTTTTTCCAGGTCTGACCACCTGGCCCTTCACATGAAGAGACACCTCTAAACGGGTCAAGAGGTGAATCCTGCGGGCTAAGAGGCTTCAAGGTTGAACAGCCTTGAAAGGAGGGATGCGTGTTCCAGCCAAAGCATGCCATTTTGCACCCTACCCAGTTGCCTCCAGGACCTCTCTTCCTTGAAGGTCTTTTGAGGGCTAATAAGTCATGTAAGAAATGGCATAGCAACCGTGGTGCGTGATGTTTGGGGTTTCCTGGACTCATACACTGGTACCTAACCTTCTGAGTGGCTCCTAAGCCTTTGCTGTGAGCATGTGCACTGAGAATGTTAATGATTGGGCGACTGTATGTTATGAGGATCTATTGATGACTGTATGCTGAGGCACATTTTTTTTTTCTTTTGGTTGTTTTATAACTGTAAGAGAAAAAAAAGTCTGAATGTTTTGTATGTAAGGACTATACTGCGAGATGGGACGACCACCAATCATTTCCAAGGGGTGGGGGGAGGGGTGCCTGCACCTTTTAGAGGAAAACATGGAGAGGGGAAGGGGGAAAAAAAAGTCAGGATGGCAGAATGGAGATGGGGACACCCCCTATTCCTGTGTGAGAGGAGCTTTAGGTGTCTGGTGCAGCTATTAAACGTGCAATGTGTCAAGTAGCTTGTTTTACTTGCTACAGAGCTCATTTGTAATCCATTGTATAAGCTGTGTATTTACAAATATAACACAACTATAACTTTTCATTATAATACAAAGGTTATTGCATGGTTCTGGGGAACTATATGCTTTTCCATTCTTTAATCAGGACTGCAGTTTTGATTCCAGTTAAGAGCAGCTAAAATACAATTGGTCTAATGTTACATAATATATGGAACCTGAATAATTTTTTCTGTTGGGTGGATAAAACCACTATTGGTTAGAAACTGATTTTTCTCATGCAGCTAATTTTTCTCTTATTTATGCCTTGAGGACTAATTTCTGGTTTTTCTAGCTGTTAATGCACTGTTGACCTTAATAATGGTGCCTTATGCAAGTGACCTTCTCTTGTAGGGGGTCTTATACAGGGGTATGGGTGATGCATGCTTTATTAAGGCTCTCTTTTCACCTGGCATTGTACTGTATCAAGTGTATAATATGAGGGGGGGGGAAGTTACTCCTGGGGTCCTCCTTCACAAAGACAAATATAGAGAAAAGTCCTTCATGTCAGTACAGTATTTGTTAAACTAGACAATTTGACTGTGTTACAGTATAATGCATATAACAATTGAATACCTGACCAATTTTGCCACCTTGAGACTTTTTTTATATTGACTTGCACAACAATTGTGTATATACACACCCCAACTGTACTTAATATGGAAAGTTTTCATGCATATTAAAGATACAGAAGTATTAAAAGATGTATTTGCTTAAAAGGCACAAGTTTCACATCTATATATCTAGCTATCTGTTGGTCAT